TCTCTCTCTCTCTCTCTCTCTCTCTCTCTCTCTCTCTCTCTCTCTCTCTTAAATACAATTCGTTTGCGCTTGAATTGAATTATTTTATTAAATCGACCCAAAAACCAATTTTCTCCAATTAGTAAAATAATTTATACAACTATAGCTGTATCGCCGATCTAGTTTTTTCGATTGTTTTTAACTACAACAGCGTGGTTTACCGAGATATGTTCCAGAGAGGGAAAAACATTTACCGTAAAAAAAAATCTGTTTGTCCTTGATATATAAAAAAATATGCTTTATTCTAGTGTTTAATTAAAACCAATCAAATAGTAAAATTCTACAAAAAAAGAAATCCATTACTTCCTGTTTAAAGCATACGGAAGAGCACAGCATGTTTTCACAGGATTCGAATCAATCGTTAATCGCCCCATTAATAATGACAGCTTTGTGACTTATTTACAATTTTTTGTTTTCGATTGAATTTTTCGATGTCAATCACCTTTTATGTTTCGACATTTTTATTTGAAGCACCTTAGATTTCTTTTGGTTCGTATGATCCATTAAATAGCAATGTTATTTTACACAAACTGCTCCCTAAAATACGCCACTTTCATACAACCTTGACCATCATCAATGACGTTTATATTTATGAATGGAATATAATTTTTTTTTGTTGAAGTGCCCATGCGCTCTGCTACATTTATAACACTTTTTGAAGGCTTTATCACGTGTACTCGAAATTGTATGTGCGTTGTTGTATCTATTTCTATTTTTCTTTTTTAACATCTTGTTCATTTGCACAAGGGCAATGTTTTCGGTTCTGCAATTTCCTGACAGAAAAATAAATAACATTAATCTGTTGTTGATATATTAGAAGTTCGGAATCAATGGTCAATGAAGAACAAAAAATAATAATAGTACAATCGAATGTAACATTTAAATCAAAATAACATCGCTGAATCATCATTATGATGTTGAATTAGCAAATATAATTCTGAACATTTTGTTTTTTTAATCTGACGCAATACCCTTTTCTGAATACAATGTGCAATTAATCAATCAACTATCTAATTAGAAATTTGAATGAAAATATTTTTTAACCGATTTTTTGTTTGTTCATGGGAAAATTGCCGGAATAAAATGGTTATCAATGGCAGCAATGTGTGTCAAATATAATTTATGTACGTTTAAACAATTAGTTCTTTAAAAAGTGATTAAAATTGGCCGTTTTCTTTTTACTCAACATAATGCAATGGCCTAATTGGCCAACAATTGAGCAATTCTCTCTCGACAATATAGCACATAACTATAGATAATAAATTGTATAGTTACAAACAACAACATTAGACGCATTTCAATGCAAATATGGATATAAAATTAATTGTGATTGATAATTTACACAAAATTCACCAGAATCATACATACATAAACTTCTTAATTTAGTTTCAAAAAAAAAAAAAAAAAATTAAAGAAGAAGAGAATGAAAAATAGCACGCATCGAAATGCATTGTGAATATGGAATTAAGTGCAGTAGTGATCTTTACAATACAAGATCTCATTTTATGCATTCGAATTTTTTTAAAGCGAAAACTTGCTTCAAAATATATATATATGTGGCTTTGGTGACTTTTTGTGGTTCGACAACCGTTGATGCAATATTACATGTTGTTGCAAGTGCAATAAAGTGCAATTAGTATGTAGCTAAATGCAATATGCTCACACTTGAATACATTGACGATTAAAATTCATCAATATTTTTTCGCAAATAAATTGATGTAAGCAAAGTATGTAAAAGCGGAATTTTTAATGTCGTTGTCGTTTTAGTTTTTTTTTTTCGTTAAATTTTTTTTTGTAATTCGTAGTATTTTCTCAGCCACTTTGAATCAAAAATCCGTATTTAGAGCCGTTTACCATCATTAAATGTTCGTTTATTGGCGTTTTTGTTCATCGCATCGATTTGCAAAGCACTGTAATGGATGGTTTAGTTCTGTGTTCATTGACTTGAATTAGTCTTTCAAATGGTCAAAAAACTGTATTTTTTTTCCTTCGATTTACACGATTACAAAGTTGTTTCGCGCGTTTTATTTTTATTTCATATTTTGTTATTCATTCCGTTTCTAACATAAGTGAGCGCGCGAGTGCGGTTTATTCAATTTTAATTGATGGACAACCTTGACACAAGAACTCCATCGACCATCGTTCACTCGCTGAAGGCAGGAACACGATGAAACCGAATGGCCAACTCAAACTCTAACAACCGATCGTCATAAAAAAATTATGGTTTTTACTCTCGTTTTGGCATTTATGTATATACAAATTTTGCTTATTGCAAAAACTGAAGGGGAAAGACGAGTATTTATATATAAATCACAACTTGCCAAGATTGAACACCGGTTATTTGCAGAGAAAAAAAAGTCAAATCTAGTCTATTGTACATATGTGTTTAGCTTTTTGTTCGTGTAATAAATGCATAGAAATTAAAATACATTTCGCTAGCTAAACCATGGATAAATTGTTACTGTTCAAATGATAATTGGTATTCTACCTATATTACTTAATGATGTTTAGATAAGTGGCATGTACTAAATTTTTTTATTGTTAGCTTTCACGCATTTCAATCTAGGTATGAATAAAATTAAGCGCTTTAATTTGTCGTAATTAGTAATAATGTTATCATATTTGGACATCTGTGTGATTTGGTTTATAAAAAAGAAAAACCAATCGTGTAGTTGGTGAATTGTAATAAAATAATTTTGTTTTTTATTGCATGCGCTACGATTTAGAAGTGAACGACAGTTGCCCTTGAAATGCATAGCATTGAATTCACTTGTAAATGCAGTTTTAAGACAATCCATTTCAACGGTTGTTTTTTGTCTCGAATCATTTGTTTTAACGAAACAATTTGTTTTTTTCTTTCTTTCTTTTTTATTTCAACAGTTGTGTTGCCGAATCAATAACGCAGCGTACTCTTAAAATGGGTTCAATACCAGAAGTATCAATTATAAAAGGGTTAAATCGTGATTACAGTACACAAAGTCGATTGCATCGTATTTTTGAGACAAACTTGAATTCATCGGACTGTGGAAATAAACCGGCTGTCATTTTTTGCGATCCGACCAATGGCGATCAAAATCTCACCCACAACCAACTTAATCAGAGTGCAAATCAACTTGCATCGGTGTTAATTCATCGAATTAATACATGTGAAGTGGAACCGAATCAAGATGGTGATTGGATTATTGCTGTGTGTATGCCTCCGAGCGACAAATTGATTGTCACTTTGTTGGCCATTTTAAAAACGGGCGCCGCATATTTACCGATCGATGTAACATTTCCAAAAAGTCGTATCGATCATATTCTACAGGAGTCGAAACCGGCTTTCGTCATTTATGATGGCAATATAATTGACCGTAGTCACTTTGATAGCTCCATTGCATCTTCATATGATGAATGCAAAGCGTTATCCATAAACTATGATGATGCAAATATATCCGATGCTCGAAGACTACAATCATCGGATGGTGGCCATTTGGCGTTGGTACTTTATACATCGGGCAGTACTGGAGTACCAAAAGGTTTTTTGCAACTTTTTTTTTAACTCAAAGAAATACGAGTATAACTCTATTCTTTCTATTTTAAGGTGTTCGATTGCCGCATGCAGTACTAATGAATCGATTGCAATGGCAATGGGAAACATTTCCATTTTCATCAACCGAATCGGTTGGCGTATTCAAAACGGCGTTAACTTTTGTTGATTCAATTTCGGAAATTTGGGCACCATTATTAACCCGTAAATGTTTTTATTCAATTTAAAAAAAATACTTAACGTTTTTATTCAATTTACAAATTACAAAAAAAAAAAAACAATTTGTATTGCAGAACGTGCCGTTTTGGTCATACCAAAGTGTATCACAAAAGATCCAACTCTATTGGTGTCAATGTTACAAAAATACGAAATTGAACGTTTGGTTCTCGTTCCAACATTGTTGAAGTCGTTGTTAATCTATTTGTCGTTGAAACGTGATGCCAACTTGTTGAATAAATTAAAATTGTGGATTTGTTCCGGTGAAACTCTGCCAACGTCATTGGCAATGGAATTCTATGATTATTTTCCGGAGAATGAGTATTTGTTGTGTAATTTTTTTGGATCAACTGAAATAATGGGCGATGTGACGTATTTTACGTGCAGAGGAAAAGACCAATTACGGAATTATACGAATGTTCCAATCGGCTATCCAATTTTCAATACAATCATTTATATTCTTATTGACGACAAAAAACCGGTCAAAATTGGTGAGACGGGCGAATTATTTGTATCTGGTGCGAATTTGGCTCATGGTTATGTGAATGGACGTGATAAAGATCGATTTATTGAAAACATTTTGGCAGTTGATCCAAGTAAGTAAAATTGAATGTTCTTGAATGTTTGACGAAAGAAAAAAACCTGAAACAAAAAAAAAATGAAATAAATTAATTGGTTTGCACAGAATATAGTCGCATGTATCGAACCGGTGATTATGCATCGGTGCAAAAGGGCGGTGTCATTCATTACGAGGGCCGTACTGATTCACAAATCAAAATAAGAGGACATCGCGTTGATTTGAGTGAAATTGAAAAGCATATCAATGAAATTGATGGCGTTAAGAAAGGCATCATTTTATGCTATCATGCTGGTCAAATGGATCAAGCCGTTTTGGCATTTGTTTCGGTCGATCACACTTCACTGTTGCATGAATTACAAATTGAACAAATTCTACGCAATAAAATGCCGGATTATATGACACCACAAGTCATTCTCATCGATCATGTACCATTATTGGTCAACGGGAAGGTCGATCGTCAAACTTTATTGAAACTATACGAAAATACCAATAATAATAGTAAGGTTTTTTTTTTCTTTTTAGTTTAGCATCTAATACAAAATTAAACGAAACCAAATCTGTTTTGCAGACGATCCGGCACCGGCAATCGATTATGATTACTCCGGCGTATCGGCAAATGAGATGCAAAAAACACGCATTTTCTTTGAAACAATTGGCCAGGTAATTGGAAGATCGACCCGTACAACCATTTCGCTGCAAAGTAACTTTTATGAATTGGGCGGAAATTCACTGAATTCGATTTATACGGTGGCAAAACTTCGTGATTGTGGCTATTCCATTGATATCACCAATTTTATATCGGCCAAAAATTTAAGAGAAGCCTTGGAATATATAACCGAAATTGATACAAATCTTGATCGAAATCTTGTACCGGTTAAAGCTGATTTTGTCGCATATTCACTATCCGAAGTGTACAGAGAGGAAACCATTCGGTAAGTTTGTATTTCTTTGTTCTAAATAAAATTCTTCAAATTATGAATCTCGGTGATAATTTTATTCTTCTTTTTTTTCAGTATAATTGCACATAGCTTCTTGGAGAAAGCTGAATTAGAGCAGCAAATCAAACCGCATATCACCGAAGAAGCTTATGTGGTGTTGATAAATGATTCGTGGCAACCATTGATCGAAACTGCTTTCAGTTTTGTGATTGCTGATAAAAAGAATCGTATTGTTGGTGTATCGTTGAGTTTCGATGCAAATAATGAGCCCGAATGTAATTTAGATGGACCACATGGTGTGATTTTTGAATTTTTGGAAACACTCGAAGCACCAGTAAAGTTAGTATTCATTTTTTCAAACGAAATAAAGTGCATTTTGATCATATTTTTCATTCGAATTTGACCAGGGATCGGCTGCCACACGATAAACCGATAATGCATTCGTTTATGATGGGAACGCATGAAACGTTGAATGCACAAGAAAACATAGTTGCAATGACCTTTATGGAATCCGAAGTAATTCGTTTGGCAAGAGAAAAGGGATGTTGTGGCATTCTAACGACCAACACAAATGCATTGACACAACAATTGGCTCGTGATGTTTTCGGTTATGAAACATTGTCCGATACTCAAATAAATACGTTCGTCTTTAATGGCAGAAAACCATTTGGAAATGCACCAGACGATTATCGGGCCATGGTTCAATGGAAAAAATTATAATTTTTACCGAATGTGATATTTTTAATTCGTTGTTTTAGCCTTAATTCATTATTATCATTGAGAATTATTATGCACAAATAAAAATTACATTTCTTCTCTTGATGAAATTCAAAGGCAGCTGACTTTTTTTCGATATTTGTTCTTCTCTCAATTCCAATAATGTTTGAATTTAATGAGCAAAAATGAGCAAAAATGAGCAAAATGTTGAAGAAAGCAATAAAATGCGGAAAGCTTATTACTGATCAACAGACAATATATTTGGATTTTGTCTTCTGGATATTTCAGCTCATCTGGATAACGTTAGGCGATGATATGGAGTGAAAACAATAGAAGTGTATTGTATAGGCATAAAAATACTACCATAACTATATCAATCACTTCTATTGTTTTCACTCCATATCATCGCCTAACGTTATCCAGATGACAAAATCCAAATATATTGTCTGATGATCAATCTGTCTAAATTCCTATTTTTAAGCGAAATTAACCAAAATCTGATATAAAAATAAATTTGTTCAATATTCGAAAAAAAAAGCGTTGTTGTTCAATTCAAGTTTGAAATACTTATCTTATCTACTTAATTGAAAATAAAAACCAATATGACAGTTCAATCCGTATAGTATGACTCTAACCTCAAAAATGTCATCAATCGAATTTGAATTGGAAAAAAGTTATGGTTCAAAAGATGTAAACAATCCAAAACGAATCTTTTCCACCGCTGGAAAAATTCTAATTGGTTTAACTGGTAATGCATTTTTCACAATGCAGATACGATGATTTTGTTTTAAATCAATCAAATTTCTATGTTTAAAATTTCAAAGGTTGTTCAGCGATTGGACTTAGTGTGATATGTTTACCATTTGTGGCTCCAGCATTTCGAAAGTATTGTTTGCCATTTGTGCCAGCAACAAACAATCAAATCGACAACATTTTTAAGCTGTTAAAAAGAAATACAAATGAGAGACTTCTAGATATAGGATCGGGAGATGGCCGGATAGTCATTGGTAAGATAAGTCACCATGGTGAGCATTTGGATTCAAAAAAATTCATTCACTGCAAATATTTTCAGCGGCCGCAAAAAATGGTTTAACAGCCGATGGAGTTGAATTGAATACTTGGCTGGTTCAATATTCACGTTTATCAGCTTTATACAATGGAGTATTTAAACAAACCAGTTTCTACCAAAAGGATTTGTGGAAATTTGATGTTTCACCGTATAAGTACATTGTTATATTTGGCGTTGAACAAATGGTTAGCACATTTTTCATATTTCTTTTTGAATTCGGATCGTATAATGATAAAAAAAATGCATTGATTTTAGATGACAGATCTAGAGAAGAAGCTACTAAACGAAGCGAATAAAGAATCCCAAGTAATTGCTTGCCGATTTCCATTGCCAAATATTAAGCCGTGTCGAATTGTTGGTGAAGGAATTGACACTGTTTGGTTATATGATTTCAAAAAGCAGCAATCCCAGAATTGAGATATAGTTGTCAATATAGTTCATGTAAAAATTGTTTATATTTCAAAAACGATGGAAATGAAAATGTAAATAAATGTTGATGATTAATACAAAAAACGGTCGAAAAACGATAGATTTTTTAAAAATTGCTTGGAAGGACAGAACCTATGATCGAGTGCAAAAAGTTGAATGAAAGCAATGACAAAAAGACTATCGCTGTTGTTGACATATGCAGTCAAAAAAGCCAAATAAAAAAAAAACAGTGGAAATCCATCATATTTTTCGTTCGTTTAAAATGAAAAAATAAAATAAAAATTGATTCATTTGTTTTATTCGATAGCTTGTGATGAAATCTACATAAATAAAATCTCATTTAAATACAATTCGGCGGAAAAAGAATAATAATAACAGGCCGGCTGAAAAGTTCGTAGGCTGACACATAGATGGTGTTACTAGAATTAAATCCATATGATTTTTAATTAGTGCCAACCTTCAAAAGATATGTGTCAAAATTTGACAGCAATCGGACCATTGGTTCGTGAGTTATTGCATTGAGAGTGAAGCAACTTTTGTTATTGTGAAAAAAATGGATAAAAGAGAATTTCGTGTGTTGATGAAGCATTGCTTTTTGGTGAAAAAAAATACTGTTGAAGCCAAGGTTTGGCTTGATAAGTATTATTTGGACTCTGCACCAGGGAAATCAACCATTGAGAAGTGGTTTGCTAAATTTAAACGAGGCGAAATGAGCACTGAAGACGATGCGCGCAGTGGACGGCCAAAAGAGGCTGTTACCGACGAAAACATCAAAAAAATCCACAAAATAATTTTGAATGATCGTAAAGTGAAGTTAAGCGATATAGCTGAAACCCTAAAGATATCAAAGGAACGTGTTGGACATATCGTGCATGAATATTTGGACATGCGAAAGCTGTTTGCAAAGTGGGTGCCGCGCGTGCTCACAATCGATCAAAAGCAACAACGTGTTGATGATTCGGAGCAATGTTTGGAGCTGTTCAACCGTAATAAAGACGAATTTTTCCGACGATATGTGACAATGGATCAAACATGGCTCCATCACCACACTCCGGAGTCCAATCGACAGTCAGCCGAGTGGACTGCACACGGTGAACCGAATCCAAAGCGTGGAAAAACGCAACAGTCGGCTGGCAAGGTTATGGCGTCTGTATTTTGGGATGCGCACGGTATCATATTCATCGATTACCTCCAAAGGGGCCGGACCATCAACAGCGACTACTACATAGCGTTATTGGAGCGTTTGAAGGATGAGATCACAAAAAAACGGCCCCATTTGAAAAAGAAAAAAGTGCTGTTTCATCAAGACAATGCACCGTGTCACAAATCAATGAAAACGATGGCAAAATTGCATGAATTGGGTTTTGAATTGCTTCCCCATCCACCGTATTCTCCAGATCTGGCCCCCAGCGACTATTTCCTGTTCGCAGACCTCAAAAGAATGATCGCGGGAAAAAAATTTAGCGCTGATGAAGAAGTAATCGCTGAAACAGAGGCCTATTTTGAGGGTAAAGAGAAATCGTACTATAAAAATGGTATCGAAAAGTTGGAAAATCGTTGGAATCGCTGTATCGCCCTCGAAGGCATGTATGTTGAATAATAAAACCGAATTTTGCCAAAAAAATGTGTTTTACTATGTTAGCCTACGAACTTTTCAGCCGGCCTTAACATAAGGATTATACGCTGCTGTGTGTGATTTTTTTCTTTCTTGAATACATTAAATGCACAATGCACATAAATTCTTTGATATATTTATTTCTTTTTTGTATTCTGCAAAACATAACATGCAATGTGTACGTGTGTTATATTTAAATTTATAATTTCACCTGCAAATATTCCAGTAAACACTCTTCATAATTTTTTTACAAAAAAAAAACGATCAAATCAAAAAAAAAAAAAATTCAGTTAATTTTTCTCTCCCAACTTTCTTTCTCCAATTATTGAATAGATATGTATTGACATTTGATTCACATTTCATATTAATCATGAGCCATTTGAAGCACTGCCTCCAATTATAATGCTAAATTAACTTACGAACGGAAATAAATAAGATTTTTTTATTCCGCATTATTTAGATTCAAAATGAATGAAATTTAGATACATCGATTTTTTTTCACTTCATTTCGTGAATTAAAGATTCACCTTTAAAGCCAAATATTTTAATTATTGAATAATTTTATCAAAAATTTCGACCCAAATAAACACGGCCGTTTGTGGCATCTTCAAAAATTTCGGTGAATCCAAGTTTCGAATAGAATTGATGCATAAAATGATCCGTTGTATTGATGCACACGTGTACACCAAATGAACCGTTTGACCGTAGCGCAGCTAATAGAACGGTTACCAAACGTTTTGGCAGTGATGAGTCAGCATTACATTGATCTTTTAATACAGAGCATGCCATAATGGATGGATGTGAATTGAGCACTTCTTGTGGATAATCATATTTAAAATTATGAAAATGATTTATTGAATCCTTGGCGGCTGGCGTTAAATCCGGTATATCTAACAGTGACAATGGATATTTTATGCACATCTCCGGAAACCAGCACATTTCTTGATTTTGATAAAATTGTTTCGCATTCAGTGCGGCACATGCATAGCCCGACAAATGATTATCACCATTCTGAAGTACCAAACACAATTCCGGATTTATTGTCACAAATGGTCCGACCAAACGATCGGCCGGTATTGTTTGTAATGTATCGGGAAATAGTTCACTGCAATCCGATCCATCGCGGCATGTTTTATGACAAATATCGTATATTTGAGCTTCGTCCATGTGCAAATATGGTCGAATGGAGTAGAAATTTGTGGTTGGCGTATCAGGTAGTTTGTAAATAAATAAATCGTTACCCGAATCAATGGGTATAAGTCGTTGCAAATCGGCTGTTAAACCACCACGAAATACCCACGGCTCTTGTTCGCCCGATGAAAATGTTTCGCGCCAACCTTTACTGAACCCTAAAATATTCGGAAATGAATATGAAATTTAAAATTGCTTCAATTAAATATCACAAAGTATCACTAACATGTATAATTTCCTTGTGTATATGAGTTGATGTTGACCGGAAAAAATCCCAAAGCTGAAGCAATAAAAGAAAAATGAGCACATGTTTGATAAAATTGAATTCTACTTTTGTGTTGATTCTTACAAAGCCATTTGATGAATGCACACAGCAAACTGATGACACCGGCTATATCCCAGACATAAGAGTACAAGTCATAGCATAGCTCTTTATTGTTGCATGCAGCAATCTTCTTTGCCAAGCCCATCACCGATTGACACAAATTATAGAATTTATCGGCGCGTTGAAACCACTCTTGGACCTGGACATTTTTAACATACATTTAATGAGAACCATTCAAACAAAATTGAACACTTGATGGTCATACCTCTGGTTTTGCACTCGAAATATCCTGACCCTTCTTGTACGAACTAACTAAAACACTTGCATTCGTTTTAAGCCAATAAAATTCATTGATAATTTGTAGCGAGCGTGAACCATGTTCGAATGGCAAATAAAATAGATCGCATAGCAAGTATAAGTCCTCAACCGCTATGTCTTTGTCATCAGATCTGCAATAAAGTCAATTTCGTTAAAGAAAAAAAAAATCAAAAGAAATGGTATTTTGTTTCGTACTTTTCGACAATGTCATGCATGTCAGTGTTTGAGGTGAGTGACGTGTCAGAGCTTTCAACTTGCATACTTCCAGTGGACGAGGTCTAAAGTGAAACAAACAAAAATCGTAAAAATTAAAATTAAAAATTAAATTCAACGAACAACGATATACAAACCGAAATACTTTCGGCCATAATAACATCATTTGCCATGATATGCTTTGGTGATGCCATTGAATTCACACTTGCACATTCCATTGGTTCAGTCGCACTCAATTGATCACAATTGGATGTATTGAGGTCATCGCTTTTATTAAGCGTTTGTTCAATAATGAGTGAATCATCGGATTTTATATTTTCGGATATAATTTCGATGGGTACTTCAGATACTTCAACATCAGTTTCACCGATGTTTTCTTCGATTTTATGCGCCATTTCGATGATTGTATCATCTTCAACTGGCATTGATTCGTCCGATTTTTTTGTATCCGACAATTTTTCGTCTTCGGTTTCGAAGACGTCAGCGTCATTTGATTCATTATGCACATCATTCTCTCTCTTCATATTCATGATCGGTATTCCAATGCTGGTGACTGGCAACGAGATGCCAGACGGCAATGCAATCGGATTGTGCGTTGCAGCAATCGGATTCGGTATCACATCGTTGGTTATTACTTTCGTAGGTGATACTAATGAATTCATAACTACATTTGGAACCGATACACATTCAGCTCCTGCATTCACATGAAATAAATTCAATGGTTAAGATAGCACGAAATACAGTTGAATTGAAAACCGGCTGACGGCAATTACCTGTTACAGTACTGCACACATCGGCCAAAGCTTGTAATTGTGTTGTATTCACTTCAGGCACTTTGATGGCGCTTGTACTAGTTACGGTGCTAGTTGTCGTCGTTAAGCTCATGCATGTATTAATTGACGGTAAAATCGGAATCACAGGCATGACCACTGAAATTCAAACAATTTATGCAAAACATATATTTAAAGACTAAGTAAAAAAAAAACAAACTTGTTTGTATTGGATGTGGTTTGGTGATTGGTCCCCATGCTTCTTTATTGATATAGAATTCAGGAAGCCATTCGTTTATTGCATTTTTGAGTGCGACTCGCGGATGGTACACATTGTCTGAGAGACAAGTTGGTGCATCTTCACTGCAAATACCCTCCTCGTTTTCGGTTTCCAATTTGATATCCGCTGATATCGAGTCTATTTAGATGGAAAAAAATATAAATGATTTGGATTTTGATTCATTTCCACCAAACTTACTGTTGACTCTCGTGTCTGAACTGCACTTGGACCAATGAGCAAGGGTGTGAATTGCAATTTGATTGGCGTGAAATTCACAATTTGGATTTGAGAGAACACCGCGCAGCATTGGAATTAATTCGGGCGAACGTCCCGCATATGGACCGAGAAAAACACGTTTCTGATCATAGTCATTTGCATGCAAATTATCCCAAATAACTGGTGGGCGTCGCATCACTTCAGTCACTTCTTGAATTGATTCCATAGTCAAATCCTTCGAAATCACTTTTGGTCCTGTCCACAATATATCAATTTCCTATAACATAAACATCATTTGAAAATTTCGTTTCTACATTTCGAAGAACTCTCACTTTACCTGCACCAATTTACTGCCTATTGTATTCAAATACTCGGAATTCATAACCGATGGTTGGGCTCTTGTGCTACAATATTGTGTTGGACAGAATAAAAATCGTGAACAATTCAAATGATTGTACACTTCATTCGTAACCGACACTTGAGCTTGACCAAACGACTGAAAAACCTCTTTATCCGCTTTGCTCATTTCCGGTTCGATATCATCAAATAGCAGAGCAAATGCTTCGCATCCAAACTGTGACACTTGGTCCAATTTTCTTTTGAGTACTGACACCTCTTTTGGATTACTGTATGTCATGTCTAAACCCGGCGACAGTGCATAATAGAAAACTATATTGTGTTCTTTTGCAGCGGCTATCAAACCTATAACACACAACACATTTATTTGTACACGTTTGACAATGGAATTTTCCCAAAAACTTACTAGTTAAATGATCGGCCTCTTCGACCGTATACATTTCTCTCCAATAAGCACGGTGCTTATAATCATCTTTTGGTGCATAAACATATGAATCCATATCCCATCGTTTCATCCTATTCAAAATTATTGGTGAAATGGTTAATTAAATTTGCAACATTGTGTTGACAACGGCCGGTTATCTTAATATCGTCTTACTTTCGAAATAAATCTTTCCGTTGTTCTGTCGTCCATGGTCGACCATAAAATCCCTCGATAACACCACAATAGAACTTCTTTTTTGGCTTTGACGAATCATTTTGATCAAAATTGTGTGCTCCGTCTGATGTCATATTGATAAAATTATCCAAATAAATCTTCTTCGTGGAATCAATTTCACCAATTTATCACACACACAAAAAAAAACCGAACACAAGAAATACTTCGCAAATTCTTGCTGAACAACAAACCGTAAATTTCCACACAAAAAAAATTCACTGCGGTACTATGGACAGAAATGTCACACACAATCAATCGACCGATGGAAAAATCTAACATAAAACCAATACGATTTGAATCAAAAGCAGTGGCTTTGCAATTTTGCAAATGTTGTGATTTTCCGAAATTTCATTAAAAACAAATTGGAAAGTACAATCGAATTGCGGTGTTTTTGAAACAGAAGAAAAATGAACTGAAATGTATATTGCTACAAGAATCGAGTCTCACGCTCAATAATAAAGAGGAGAAACCCCGAATGCTTTTTTTTTTTTGGTTGAAAAGCAGTGTATGTATACAGTGCCGACTACCACAATGTACCAAAACAAAACTTGTATTGAAGCCAATAAATTGAATACTGCGAGATTTGTGTGCTGATGTATGTGAGAGCCGTGTGCATGTGTGTATGTGTTCGTATGCATGCTTAAGATGAAATTTTGTTGTCAAATAAGCTTCAACTTAAAAACAAAATACGCGTAATCGTTAACTCGCTCTCTTTCTATCTCTCTCTCTCTATCTCTTTTCATGTATATATTATTTGTTGGTGATTTCTCTTATATCAATTTGTCAATATAGAATGGGAAAAATTTTCCATTCGCTTCGTTCCAAACAATTGAAATATTGAGGGCCGCATATTGATTGATTGGTGAATGGATAAGATGATTTCGAAATTTTAAATATTTAACATTAATTTTTCAAGTAAAATCTTTACGATTCTTTGTTCATTCAGTCAGCGATTCAGTTTTTTTTTTCATTCCTCATTAAAACTAGTTGCTTTTGATTAAAGAGATTTACAATCGATTTGAATGCCATCTAAGTGTCAAAATAGTCCAATTTGAAAAAGAATATTTTGTTTATTAAGAAATATAAAATATTTCTAAATTTCTGAGAATTTTTTTTGAGCAGAATTTAAAAAAAATACGATTGTAAGAAATAACTGTTTATTGTAAATCGTTTAATTCGATGATGTTGGTCAGTTATACATCACTTGAATTCGGATCGAACTGAAGTTGGCTCCGATCGCTCGACTATGATGCGTTAATCAGTTTGTAAGGTAGATAAAGAGAGAGAGAGAGAGAAAGAGTAAGAGCGGGCGCGTATGTTTGTGTGTAGCGTAGTAAATGTATGTACATGATTTTTGTTGCGTGTGTGTGGGTCTGTATTGTAGAGAGCGTAGTGTGTCTGTTTTGAAGAAAACTTGACTGAATGTTGAAATTGAAATTTTAGTTGAAAAATGGCAGCGAATCGGGATAGCGACACATCATTGTGGCTACATAATAAACTCGGTACATCCAGCGAATGGACTAGCGGTTCGATTTGTTCTCAGCTAAATAAAGAGGTTTTAAGGAACATCAAAGACTGTTTTGCTGATTTACAAACTCAAGTGAAATTGAAACTATTGCTTAGTTTTTTCCATATCCCGCGTCGTCTTGTCGAAGAGGTAAAAAAAATCGTCCATATTGAAAATGATTACTATATGTGTATATACGACGTGTGTACAACGCGAGTGAATGAAACAGAATTAAACAAAATGAAAAATGATTCTGTCGAATATTGATGTGTGTGCAAATGTTATTGTACTTATTTTCATTTTATATCCTCTTCAATATTATATATATTTGATAATTTGGAAATTAATTTCAATTTCGGCACGAATAAATAATGCGTTTTATTTTTAAGAGCACATTTGATTGCACTGTTTTACGGCCCATCGATATTTCCCAAGAATTTTGGTGTGTCGAACTGTTACACACTACCATTAATGTTGTATCTGTCATTTTTATGGCGCTTCTTTTGTTGTTATTATTTTTAACGCACATCAAGTGGTCTGAGGTTCAGTGTGGTGTGATTTTCGAACGAAAATGATCAAACAATCGAAATAAAAACGGTTTTTTTTTTATCTTGGTTCAAAATGTCAAAACTCAATTGCAAATCATTTTTCAGTGGAAAACCGAATTGGATGAAGTCATTGAAGTAGCTGCATTAGATTCAGAATTATGGGTGTCAATGATAGCAGAAACGATAAAAACGTTTCCAGCCACTGGATCGTTAAATACAGAAATTTCCGACTACGAAGAAACTCGACCAATATTCACCGATATGGGGAACGAACTGAGAAAATACGTAAACAAGCACAGTGATTTGGGAATGTTGCCGTTAGAGTGTCAATATTTAAATAAAATGGCATTAACATCAGTTGTGAGTTGATACAAAATATTTTCGAATTTGGATGCTGCATATGCAATATTCGTTAATATTTCGAATTTTTTTTTAAATGTTTTTGTTTGTCTGTTTTCTTTTAGGTCGGCCAACAACCAGCAATGACAAAGCATTTCACATTGAAACGAAAACCAAAAAGTGCTGCCTTACGAGGCGAACTATTGCAAAAGTCTTCCGATGCACAGTCTAGTCTCAAAAAATCGTCGGCACCAATTATACCACTAAGAACGCGCGGTATGCCTCGTAAAATGACTGACACAACACCATTGCGAGGCATTCCAACGCCAAGAATTCCAACCAGCGGTTTTCGATCGCCAACATCAACACAAGGACCAAGCAGCCGACCCAATATGCCACGTCAACAGGCCGGCCGAAAAGATGGTGGTATTAAAATATTGGACATTACCGAGCAACCATTGGGCTATGCAGCGGCCAAAAAACGAAAACGACAACAAGAATTGGAAGAACAACAGAAACGTGCACTTGAAGCACAATCTAGTCCGCCAATAAAATCAGAACCGGAAACACCTGTAACCACAACACCAGATTATGCTGTTGGATTAAATGCAACCTCTGTATACACACAGCCAGCCACTCCAGCACCAAATATTGTCAAAGAAATTCCCTCGAACACAACAAACGACTTTGTCAAAACGGAAACAGGTAACAATACACTATTTTAAAAGTGCCATCAACACAGTTTACTAATGTTATGTTATTGCTTTACAGTACCTGCAAGTTCCACATCAACCATTATACAAAGCCAAGCGCAAGCTGTTAGTAATAGTCAGCAAAATCCAGTGACATCGAATAATAATCATTTAGTGTTTTCAATTAAAAATGATGGCAATGTTGTATCGTCATCGATTGGCGCTTCATCCACACCACTCTTGGTAGCCGTATCAAATGCTTCCTCTGCAAATACTATAAAAACCGATGGGCCACGATTAATATCATCGACAACAATAAAACCAGCGACAACACAAGAACAGGTATCGTATCATTGAACCGATCGGCGTATATGTGAATTTGAATGTACTAACATTGTCATTTAATTATTTATTTTTTCAGAAATATGCCCCAATTCAATCAACGAAAACAACACCACCAGCTCTTGTAACGATTTCCTCACCGACGAATATGCCTTCGTTAGCAGCTTTAACAAATCCACAACAACAACAGCCACAGCAACAACAACAGCAACAATCCGAATCGTTGCAGGTGCCACAACAAATTGGTGCGACAAAAATTGTGCAAATCAAAACAGCGCCCACGATTCAAGTGGTGCCGTCGAATCGGCCAACCATTCAAAATATACCACCATTGATTCCAACCCAACAACCAACATTCTTGAATATTCAACAGAGTGTGGCCAATCGACAGCCAACCATACAGACAAATACCAGCACACCATCAAGTATATCATACATTACAACAAATCAAACGGATGCAAAATCAATTGGAACATTTCAAAATGCACCGCAACAACAAAAATATTCATCGGTTGTTGTGCAATCACCAAATGTCAAAGGTAAACCAACGATTATTTTGGCAAATGCAAATACGTCACAGCAAAAGACAATTATCCTTCGATCGGTCGGTGCCGATGGAAATACCATTTTGCAACAAGTACCAATTAGTAGTGTATCGGGTCTTCAAAATCTCACCGGCAATACAAATAATATTGTTCTAACGCAAGGCGCAAGCAATATAATCAAAACATCGACAACAAACCAACAACCTCAATTCCAACAAATTCAAATCACTGGCACACAACCGCAACAACAACAACAAATTCCCACCCTTGTACCAACATCATATACGCAAATCATTACGAATTCACAACAACAACAGAACCAACAACAACCACAAACGCGACTAGTGCTCACAAATTCCGGGCAAAATCAAGTTATTTTACCCCAAGGATTGCAAGGACTAACACTCATCCAAAGGTGAGTTTCCAAAAAAAGAAAACAATGTTTACCACGCTTTGGAATGAACAAAATGTTATGAACTCATTTTTTGAATTCTTTTGTTTAAAATAGACCGGGACAACAACCGCAACTCGTGCAAACCATTCAGCAAAATCCACAGATCGTGCAAATTCAATCACAGCAAAATCAACAAAATCAACCGGTTCAGATGCAACAAGTAACTGTGCAACAAGCGCAAGCGCAGCCTGTACAACAACGCAAAGGATTAACTCTATCGGTAACGCATTTTGTTTTCTTTTCGTTCATAAAATTGTTTATAAACATTCACCAAGACTGAGTTGATAGCAAAAATTTTGTTTTCGCTTTGCAGAACGAACATGTTGCAAAATTGAATGAGATCTTCTCTCAGGCAAACCGAGTCACGCGTCGTGATAAGGCGTTGATTCTTGGTTTTATGGGCGGTTGTCGTGAGAATCCAATGCCAAGCCCTGAAAATTATATTGTCATCAAGTTAGGTGAAACAGAAGTAAGTACTTTTCATAAAACAAAGCGATACCTTTTTGAAATTCATTTTGTGAATAAAAAAAAAAAACAATTCTAATTAAAATTACACTCAACAGGAACGTGTAAAACAAGATGACGGTACGTTTGTTCCTATGCTTGTCGAATCATTGATAAAACTCGACTATAACACCGGCGAATGGAAAAAATTGCAACACCTGCGACGCATCGACCAAAGTGGCCAACAAAACGATTCGAAAAAAATAACATCGCAAAATTCGGTTGTCATTTAGAATTCGTTGAACATTCACAGCTAGAATATGTGCGCAAAAAGATGACGAAATCGGATGTATGGAACGCTCTATTTTCTATTTATCTCCAAAAAAATATTGTTTCGAAAACAAACAAAAAAAAAACACATACACAAAAAATGTTTCCATTATCATGCTGTGAAATCGGTGATCGAGAATCATGCGGCGCACCAACATTCATTTCCATTGCACCAGTACAGTTTCACATAAAATCGGTCAACAAAGAGTTAAAATACATTCAGCAAAGAGAAGTTCGATAAAAGATGACAGTGTTTAACAGTAATTTATTGGACTTCTTGTCGTGCACTACCACACTTTAAATCGATGAACATGACACATCCATCAACCGCACGCTAAATTAAATGTTGGAAACGAGAAAGAAAATGAATGTTGCTGTAGAAATGTTCGATTGTTCAATTTAGAGAAATGGATTTTGAAAAAGAAAGAATCTAAATTATCAGCCATGAGAAAAAACAACAGCATTAGAAGAAAAAACACGTAGAGAAATAACATGTTCGTGGAGAAGTAAAATGTAAATTATTTGATAAGATTGCGATAAATTTCATACAGTTAGATTCTTTAAGTGAAAATAAAAAAAAGCAACCGCAGAATATCGAAATGGAGCGCTTATTTTAAGTGTCTTGTGTGTTAATTTTGACCATTTGTTAGTTGGATATTCTCGTACATCATTACAAGTTAATTGAAATTTAAAATTCACACAATTTTTAAGTGAAATATAATGATACCCTTCGCTCATTATTTTTTTTGTGCGTCCGTTAAATTCCCAAAACAAACAAAAAAAAATAATAAAAATAAATATTTAGAGTGTTTACAATATAACTAAATTAACAAGAAAAAAAAACAATTTAGTACACACATATTGTAGTTATGAAAAAAACGAAATACATAACGGTACCACAAGACAAATGTATATTTTTATTTTTAGTGCAAATCGTGGAACAAAGGAAAGAAAAAGAAAAATTCAATTCAAAGCAACGGCATTTCTTCATTCACAACATTTCTATTATAAGTAATTCACATTGTTTCGAAAGACAAGAAAAAAAATTATTGATCCTCTAACTCTATTCATTTAAACAAATCAAAACTTTTGTTTCAAAAACCGTGTTGAACTAAACTGTTTAAAATTTGAATTCGCCGGATTTTAATCTTTAGAAAATAAACAAAAAAAAAAAGAAGAAGATAAGCGTAACGCAAACGCATCATTTAATGTATATGTATTTAAATTTGGTCTTTCCATCTCTTTGTAAATAATTTTAATTCCATAATATGCGCGTGCTTATGAAATTAACTTTTATTCGGTTACATTTAGATAGAGAGTATTAAAAACACAATCAAAATGGAACGCAACAGCCAGTCAAATATAACAGAGGAAGAAGAAATGTTTAGAGAAAATGTACAAACTTATGTTGAACAAAATGAAAATGAACGATAATAGATGAGTTTAACATTTAATATTACATTTGTATGTGATAAAAATAATAAACTAATCGATACGGAACAAAGGCATTTTTGTTTCTCTTTTTATCTTCTATTGATTGATTCAATGACATAGTCGATTTTTTGCAATTTTTTTTTTAATTTGATGTGAAAATTATCAACAACAAAAACTGTTCTGGATTTTGTAAACGAAATTATTTCAAACTGTGTGCAAGATGGGATGTATTTGAAATTTTATTGTTCAATTCATAATTCGCCGTGTACTTTCAAATAAAAAAAGTCTATTCAAGCAGAAAAGTTAATTTTCAGTTATTTGTAATAAAAAACAACATACTATTGATTCGATAGAATGCAAACGGAAAACTTGCACATTTGTTCATTCGTATTTTGTGTCTCATATAAAAAATCACCGACAGAAGTCGCTATTAGTTATTAAGTGGAACATTTTTTTTTTTCAAATATACTAATGGTAAGCTTTATAAAACACATATTTTTTATTATTATTTGTAAGTTCCGAATTATTATTTGTAAGTTCCGCTGAGTTTAAGGTTCAAGTCATGAATAAAAAAAGAAACCAGAAAAAAATATCGTGTCTTATCATTTTACTATTGAAATCATTTTTTTTATCAAATTATTTTATAGTTAGAGAGGGAGAAAGAGACAGACAGACAGAGAGAGAGAGTAATATCATGAAAATCGAATATTTTTTGGAATCCCATTTTTATATACTGCTACTCCTCAAATCCACAGTAACAATAAATTTTGGATTTGTTGTTGTTGCTTGAAATGCTGCAATCGAAAGAGAAAACAATCAGACTATGATCATTTCAGTTAAAAAACCGATCTCACCAAATCTATCATGATAGATATATTTGGATGGTGGATCTGGTGTCAAATGGTCATGATTGAATTCATTATGGTATAAAAAAAGACTGTACAAAAATGGAATATATATTGCACGGATGAAGGTCAAAAAAATACAAAAAAAAAAATCATAGACAGATTATGTAATTTATTTGCATATGAGTGAATTATCAAAGATTCAAAAGGATTTGCAATGGACTCCATTAATTATTACTTTCTCATAAAATGAAAAAGCGAAAAATATCAATTAATCGAAATATGAAATTTTTTCTGTACGATTAACGTAGCGTTTGCGATGTGTATCAACGATTACACCGATTCATGTGATTGTTATGACACCGCGAATCGGAGTGTGTGCTACGATTGATTTGGAACATATACCGCAGTCAAATTGTCTTCTCGCACAGGTGAAATACTTCAAACAAGAAAAACTAACGATTAAATAAAAATATCAGGCAAAAATATGACACACTGACATTTTTTACATCGTTCATATATCTTGTCTTTTTTTTTTTTGCTCTATTAGTGAATATTTTTTTTGCACATTATATTCTTGCACAATGCACGGATTGGCGTGAATGTCTTTTTCTCTTCTTAATTTGGATTTAAAACGTGGTCGTTTGATAAATTTTGGGGGGCATGCACCAATTTCTAATTTGATGTGTGTTTATGTATGGCTATGGCATTTTCGTGACAATAAAAACGATATCTGTGCAATTCCAAAGGTTAACAAACAACAATAATCACTTCGATTTCTCTCCTTCCAAAGATGATTGTTTTTTTATTCATATTTTTGTTGTTGTTGTTGTTACTTACTGCCTTTCATACTTTGTAATCAACCCGATGTGACATGATTTTGTGTAAACTTTATGATTGAGAAAAGAGAAAAAAGTGCATTGCATAAAAATGTTTGGTTTCTGTCATTCTTGCACGTCCATGCAATCTGATGATCTGGTAACAATTTAATAACTATAATTTGTTTGATTTCACAAGCCGCATAGAGCGCATTTGATTGACTTTATTCGCGCTCTCGAAATGTTTTGCATTTTCTTTTAATTACAAGGTTCGATTAGTTCTCATTTACTGTCACATTCAAACGCCAGAGCCACCAAATGCCTTTTACATAACAATGCACTCGAAACCGTTTGGTTAACCGTGTTCGTTATGATCTATTCGAATCGATTCCAACAACAACAAAAATCTGTACGAACGATTTATTCATTTTGGCCGATAGTTTACCTTGTAAAACGCTTCATATGACCAAAAACAATCTCAAATGTTCCAGTGTCTGTGCAATAGCGCCAATACGACTTGCTCCGAATTATTTTGGTTTTCGATTGAATTCATCTTGGGCGTGTGTGTTCAGTCGACAAACGATCGTTTTACCAATTGGACATATATATCTTATTTGAAGCGACACCGTTTGCACTTTTTCGAATTTAGGCAATAGATTGCATTTTTGGTTGGACAACAAAGTTTGTAAACAATTTAAAGTGAGAATTAATTTTGATTTGTTTTCTGTTTTGGTAAAAGACGTTTTTAGATCAAAATTTGGTAAAAACAGCAAAATCATTTCCTCTTATAGAGGTTTCGTCTGATCCACAGCCACCCACAAACAAAAGATGTTTTTTTGTCAACTTAAAACAACCCAGCATATTTCTACCGTTTCAATATCGGAACATAAATCAATTCTAACTTTAAAAATAGAATCCGATAAACAATTTTGTTTATTATTTGTTCGGATAATGAATTGACCTGAGTATTTATTCCGCTATGCACTTTTGAACATTGTGTAGTGAATACACATCTGAAGTGGTTGTTAAATATTAAGTGAAGGTTATTTACATATTTTATGACCGTGCACACTTTTGATAATAAATCAAACACGACAAAGATTTAATGTATTTTTTTACTTTGGCCACGACACGAAGATTCGGTGCAATTTGAATACGCTTGAGTTAATTCCACTCATTAACCATTTTCAATTATCAGATGGATGTTTAAATTCCATATAAATTCGCCACACAAATCAACGGTGTGTGCGTGTGTGTGTGTATATGTGATTATCTCATCAGCACAAATCATCGTTGTGAGCAAAAAATGAAATAAAAACTGCCAACGGCGAGAAGAGCGAACACACCAAAACAAAAAAAATACCTTACACTTCAAAGTTCGGCTTGTGAGGCTATTCAATGAAGTGACATTAGAAGCAAAGCACTAGCGTGTGCAGCGAAAGTAAATGTGGAAACGAGATGAATAAAGCTTATATGAGCTCCGATTGTGTTGTGATTTCGTTCAAATCGTATTCTGCATTCAAAGTGGCGTGTGCATTAAGATTTTCACGAATTCTCATCAAACTAACTTGATTTAAAGAAAAACTACACGTGAGTGCATTTGGTAAATCACATTTAGACCACAAATTCCAAACTTGTTATATTTGAAAAAAAAAAAAAAAAAAATACGCAATGCGTATTACAACTTCTGTTGCAGCTGGCCCAGCACATTTCAGTGCAACACTCAAGTCAGATGTTCATCGGATCTAACCACTAGATTTTAAGTTGGCAATTACAGTTGTATTGTGTGCACAAATCAATTCACTTGTGTTGGTGATATTCTGTATTATTTTTTTCTCTCTTTTTCTTCTCAACTTTGGATATCTGATGGATCGGTTACCGAATTGCGCAATTTTAAAACCAGACACATATCTATGTTCTTATTTAACTTCAAGTATTTATTCAGTATGTTTACAAGACATTTTCTATATTTTAGTGAGCCGATAGAATAGTACAACCTGTTTACAGCAGACAAAAATAAATAGTTGAATAAAAAAAATTGAAAACGAATAATTTATTGTGTTGGAGTGCGCGATAGTTTCAAGTGAACCGTTAACATGAAGAAAGCTACCACAGTCGTTGATAATTATGAATTTCGTTTGAGCAATGAGCTCAAACTGTTGGCCGAGTCTGAATTGCGAGAAACATGTGCGACCAGAGATTTTGCTCTAAAAGCAATTCGCGATTGGATTGAATCGAACCCACGAATCGAAGCCGCTCGAATGGGTAAACAAACAAACAAAAAACATTTGCAAACAAAAATAAACTCTTTTAATTATCATTCAAAGATGCTAGTTTTTTATTGCGATTTTTGCGAGCCAAAAAATTCAGCGTACCCATTACACAAGAAGGAATCGAAAGATATCTATTACTGCGTCAGTCATATGATTTTTTCACCAATTTGGACATGAACTTACCAACGATGAAAACACTTCTAAACTTGGGGTAATTAATACATCATTTTTATAATTTAATAAAATGCCCATGAAGTAAATCGCCACTACTTATATGTGGCCTTGAATAAACAATATTTTCGTTTGAATTAATCTGAGAAAAAAAAAACACATTCTTCGAAGATAAATATATTTTGCTAAAAACTGGTTTCCTCATTATATCAACATTGGTTGTAATGAACCACCAATACAAAATCGAATTGGACTCATTTATGTAAACAAACAAACAAAAAACACACGAAACTAATTATAATTAACAATAGACAGAATAAAAATATATATACTAAACATTCAAATTTACTTCAGCCGCAAACTTATACGTAGTGTCATATTTTCAAAATGTACAATTTTGATCATTTTTCTTTATTTAAAAAAATATTTCGTGAAAAAAAATGTCGACAAAAAAATCAAATTAAAGCAAGAGCATTTGAAAAGAGACGCGTGAAAAAAAATATTCGCTGCGAACAGGATTTGAACCTGTGCGGGAAGAATCCCAATGGATTTCTAGTCCATCGCCTTAACCGCTCGGCCATCGCAGCTCATATACACGTTCACGTTTAACGCCTCTATGCAGTGCGAGTGTCTACACGCACGACTATCACTTTCATTGTTCACCAAACATTTTCTATTTTTGTTACTTTTAAAATCATTTAAATACTTAATGAATTGCACAATTTCATTGAATGAAAATCATTTTCATTTATTTATGCATGAAATAGGTATATTTTTGCGGTGCCAAAACGTGATCAGTTTGGTAGAAGAGTTATCATCACAAGACCGGGTAAGAAATGAAAACAAATTAAAGAGATATTTCAATTATTTCATTTATTCAAATCATTTTCAAATCCGATTTATTGTTAATAGGTGTTTTCGATCCATATAAATATGCCAATACCGATATGCTCAAATTGCACGGCATGGTTTACGAAACATTAATGGAAGATGAAGAGAATCAAATACGTGGCTATGTTCACATTGTTGATTGTACTGGCGTTAGTTTGCCGTACATGACTTTATTCACTCCCAAAGAGGCTGTTCGAATTATTAAAAATGCCGAGGTAAATCAAAATATTTCATTTCAAATGATATTCATGCCATTTTTTTTTTACTTTTTGTGACATTTATACAAATTGAATGCATTCATTCAAAGTTATCGAATTTTTTTATACAAAACACAACGCGACGCTTACATGTTTACGCGCTAAAATGAATGACACATTTATTTCAACATTTGTTTGAATAAAAAAAAAATTCTTCATAAAAATCAATAAAAAAAATACATTCAAAAGAGTGTAAATATACTTTGGAATTGACAGTGAATAAAAAAAGAAAATAAAAAAAAAATATTCGCTGCGAACAGGATTTGAACCTGTGCGGGCAGAGCCCAATGGATTTCAAGAATTCGAATTTATTCGAGTCCATCGCCTTAACCACTCGGCCATCGCAGCTCATGCTAGCAAACATATTTTATCGTGTCATGTTCTCCGTAACTATAGACACGCACGCTGTCTATCGCTGGAGCGATGCTTTTTATTTTGCTGTTGAATGTGTTTGTTGATTAAATTAAAATAAAAAAACATAATCTCTATACATTCGCCGAAAAAATCTTTCACATTTGTCAAGATATTTAAAATCGAAAAAAAAATCATTAAAACTTCTTCACATTTTATTTATTTTTAATTTGCATTTTTACGAAATCGATGCGATTTATAACCAACAAACAAAATGTGACAAAAATAATATTGAAAACGTGTTGAAATGACTGAAAATTAATTTCGAAAAAGCTAAATTTGTTGAAAAAATACGATGTTCGAAATGGCGACATCCAAAAGTCACATTTCTTGAGAAACGTGGGTAAAAAAAAATTATTCGCTGCGAACAGGATTTGAACCTGTGCGGGCAGAGCCCAATGGATTTCAAGTCCATCTCCTTAACCACTCGGACATCGCAGCTCATGAATGTTATACATCAAAGTGTATACAGTACGTGCGCAACGGTGCGCACCAACAATGTGACACGCAAGCAGCATGTTTTATGTTACATTTTTGCAATGAGATTTTTTGTAAACACACACACAAAAAATGTTGATCTATGTCGAAATTGTACATATAAATTTGTTGTTCGTTAATTTAGTTTTTTGTTCATTTCATTTTTTAAATACAGAATACGTTGCCAATGCGACATAAAGAAATAGTTGCATTTAAAATGCATGCATCGATTAAATTTGCCGCTGATTTTGCACTTGGTTTAGTAACTGAAAAGCTACGAAGTCGTGTCAAGTTTTTCACTTCACTTGAGTCAGCTAAAGTTATCGATCGTTCTATACTACCTTTGGAGTACGGCGGAACCATTCCAATGGCTGAAATGATTGGTTAGTACAAAGCTTTTCAAACTAAAATAATGCATTCCAAGTATCGAGATTAAAATTTCGTTTGAGAAATAGAAACAAATCACCGTTGGCATTTACTCACTAATTTTTTACGGAAATGAATTTTCATTTTCACAGAATCATGGAAAGTTGAAATGGCTGCAAAGCAGTCAATACTTCTTGACAACGATAATATGCGCGTTCATTTGGATATGTATTCAATGAAAGCGCGTGAAGGTGCAATCAGTGCATTGAAACAATTGAATTGTGCATCCAGCGACAATGACAAGGGACAATTGTATGGATTACAGGGAAGTTTTCGAAAACTCGAAGTCGATTGAGCATCGTTGACAACGAACCAGTACTCTACATATATTTACTAGTATATTTAAGACCTTTTTTTAACGTTGAATGCTCAAAATTGCGATATTTTATACTTTTTGATTGCGGGGTGACGGGCGATCGATATGTTAATATTTTATATATATATATTTGGTCTACTTATCTCCAAAACTAAATCCATGATCAAACATCAAATCATTTCGTTTTGTAATGAGTGGCACACCATTGATGTAGGAATTAAAAAAAAACAACGCCAGCAGTATTTCTTCACATTTTTCCTCCCTCTCACACTTCTTTCTTTTTTCTATATTGTTCATACGTTTCACAAATCACAATTTATGCTATCAATTTATTTAAATACCAATAAATAAATGTACGATAAGTTAAAAGATTGTTATCCAATTGTCTACATGGGAATTTACATAATCAAAACAAAAATTTTAAAATATACATAATAATAAGCAGTGTTCAATAAATAAATAAAAATAAATTACAATGTGGTTTTTTTTTGTCACATACAAACTAAAATATAAATGAATGTAAATTTATTATTTACGCATTCGTTACTAAAATATTCTTAATTTGTTTTGTGTTTGGTTAAGTTTGTGACTTCGAGTCGATCTATCATGAGAACTGATAATGACTTTGGCAATGGCGCAACATATGCTCATATGCAATGAATGAAACTGCACTGACTGGTGCTGATCGCAATACCAACACTGTGCCGCCACGGAAAAGGTATTTGTATCCATGTTCCTGGATGAGAAAAAGACAAAAAAAATGAAAACCGTCAGCGCAAAAGAATCGTTTGAATATGGCAAGTAAATTTACTTTGGTAATTTCGCTGAAACAATGCAATACATTTCTGTATTGATTTGGATTAGTGGTTGTCATCATTCGCGTTTTGATTACATCAAACGGAATTCCCGGTATCCAAGATAGCATGCCAGCACATGCGCCAGCCACTGCCGTTCGTAATGGTTCAACTGTTTCCTCTTTATAATGGTACGGTCGTTGAAGTGATGGTGATCGCATTTTCTCTATCATATATTCATATACAAACATGAACAGTCCGTATGGGATAATATCTCTGCGCAAAGAAATAAATCAATCGAGTTCAATTTTTTAGCGAAAGACAATTTGAATACAAACCTCCAGAGCATGGATTCTAAGCCACGAAAAACGCCTGGCAAACCTTCTGTTTGTCTAATCAATCGAAACACCATCAATGGCCCCGTTTCATTATCTGACATAAACATAAACAAGGAGATAGATTAGAAATACAGAAGTATAGAAAAAAGTATACCATAATTGAAACGACTGACCGAATTGGGTCTTTAGATTAACTTACTTACTTTCACCTGCAATCGCACCTTTGATAATTCGATTGGGCATGCACAAATTGCCTTTATCAGTCCGGCCGTACAACCGCCCAGGAATACGTGTGTAAACCAATACTTTTGCTTTGATTCTTCGCTTGATGTCCTGCAAAAAATTGACGATTAAATATTTGTATTTAATATTCAGAGTTCGAAAGACTCACATATTTTGATAAATTCGAAACGAATTGCCATAAACACCAAAAATGATCGAATTCATGAATCCCGTTGAACACAATGGAAATAAAAGACCACGATAATAGGATTTTGCCTGCAATATTCGATTATTAGATACATTCATTAATTATTAGATACATTCATTCATTTACCCCTTCGGTTTTGAATAGAATTTTTGTCGCTTGAATAAATCGCATATTTCCCGATTGCATGTTCGTCTTCACCGTGTCAAGCGGGTGGGATATGAACATATTACATGCACCTGTTTAGAATAATCATCATAAGTGGCAATTTAAATTGATGGAAAATATTCCAAATTTTTCTTTTAATTTACCAGCAAAAACACCAGCTATGAAGTCACAATGGGCCGTCATTTTTGGTTGTAGCTAACGAACAACGATGATAAGCTGTATTTTATTTAATAGATTTTATTGGGATTAGAGATTATTTAACTTTTTAATCAACATGAAATTTATGAAAAATAATTTAAATAACAGGTTAATCAGTCAGTCATTGCATCACAAATTTGCCACAAATTGTATGTGATGCCATATTCATTGTGATACAATTCGTACCTTGATTTTGTGATTGATTCTATTAAGGAATTAACATGCAGATTGGACTACATTTGTCGAATAAAACATCGAAGAAAGAAACATGAATCACCAATGGGTTTTCTTTGTGAATTTTTTGTTTATTAACAAAAGAATCAATCTGTATTTCAATTGCTCTTGTTCACACATTTATAATCAGAATCCTTGAACAAATGAACACTTTCTGAAATCTTTTTCTCCTAAACAAACATTTTCTTGAAAATTCGGAAACTTTTCCAAGAAGAAGTTTGAAAAAGGTTCTAGCAATGACCTTAAACAAAAAAGTTACACATAACAAAGCATCTAAATGATTCATTGCAAGTAAAATTCAAGTAATGTACGGTGTGCTTCGCTGAACTACATTTTTGCCGCCAAATATTGTTCCATCATCAATGTCTGCAACGACCGATTCGTACAGAAATGTAATTGCAATGTTAAAGATTTTCAGAATGAATATGTTGGTGCGCATCAATTTGCACATTTCTGAAAATGCAGAATACACTTATGCTTTGACATCGAAATGAGCACCAAAATACAGGGAGAACAAAAGCAAAAAATAAAAATCACGAGTAATAACTCTCTTTCTCTCTGTTAGTCATTCGTTTACTTACTCACACAATCACACACCAGAACATCGCAACGCTGCACTTGGTTATACCAAAGCACGTGCTCAACACCGTGTTGATTCGACAAACAGAGATGAGAGAGTGTCAGTGCGTTTCTGCAATGTGTAAATATATGTATGTACATGTGGCTTTCTCCTATTAGAAGATTGAGAACATGATTTGATTTAACTGTGTGACTTTTGTATTGACTGATGTTGCTTTTGTATTGATTTACAAATCTCAAATTTCCACGGACATCAATTTCGAGTCGAAATTTTTGTTGTTGGTATATTGAATGAATTTCTTTGTTGCTAACATCCACTTATCATCTCACTGATGACATCACAATCTTGAATGTCCCGTGAATTACACGAACGATAATAGTTCCGACAATGAATTAAAAAAATCCAACCGTAGTACATATCAAGCTTACTCATATGACAATGATCACGAGGTATCGATTTGAATGGAGTCTGTTTGAATTGTGGAAGAAAATCGTGATGAAATATTGATAAATATGAATGAAACAGCAAATAAATCCAGGTAAATTTGAATGACAACATTCGGAAAAATAGAAAATAAAAGTTTTCAATTAAACTTTTACCGAACGTCAATTTTTATTGCAATGTCCGAAAAGAATATCGATTTTCTCTGAATACAAATAAAAATGTACTCACAAATCAGAGTCAAAGCAACGAATTTTATTGCACCGCTTACACGATGATTTCGTCGTGTCATTCATTGTTTGCGTAATCGTTAGTTTCACTGACATTGATGCGAATTCATTTCGACACAAAACAATAGAAACATAAATTATTCGAATTTTCTTGATTTGTTTGTGTGCGTCGCCTGAACAAATCAAGAATTTTCCAAATTCAATGATAATATGATTCACTCACTATTTTTGCGCTGGTTGTCAGCAACGGCCAAATCGAAAACCCAAAAATACCCAACAAACTTATTCAACTCATTGACGAAAATAATCGAATAAGTTGGCGTCTAACTTCCGATTTTTAACTGGGTAATTGATTTTTTGACATCGGAATCGGAATCGTCGAAATGTGTAAATAACAATCTATTGAATTGTTACCGAGATGTCAAACGACTAAATGTTATTAAAATCACATTTGAAGAAAATTAATTTATAGTAACACACATGCAGTGTGTATAGTAGAAATAGGAAAAATCAAAGAGAGCGAAGAGAGTGTTTTGTTATTCTCTCAAAAAGCGAAATAGTGGAAAGAGCGCGGCGAATAAGAGCGGATTAAGAGACGGCTGCGCTCACAAATACACATGGACATCGTGGAGAAGAGAAAACCATATGAGCGAGAGAGTTTGAGACAACCACTACTCACAGAGATTCAACAAATACACACGAAACTCAAGGAAAACACACAACAACACAGAAAACGATAAAAAAAACAGAAAAAAAAACAAAATTAGAATGATTGCACGTGTATTAGTACGCGTGTAAGAGTTTGAATTTAGTTTCATTTGCATTGAATGGAACGGTTACATTTCTTCTTTTATGACTTTTCCACGAAAAAAGCACCAAAGTGCAGGATATGAGACAGATAGAATAAAGACGAAAAAACAACAACAAACCATATGTTATGTTGTTTTATGACTGATGAACGCATTACTTGAGTATTGTGCAGACATTAGGTTTGAGCTATGGATATAGCGGCTGCTATTTCATAGCTGCTATTCATAGGCGCTATTTATCTCGTTTTAATGCATTTATGCATATTGTGTGTTATTTTCTACATCTCTCTCGTACTCACATTCAAATGTACAAAAGAATAGTAGGCTATGATATTCCTACTCGGTGTTACACACAGCACACGAATTAAATAGCGCCTATGAATAGCACCTATAAAATAGCAGCCGCTATATGCATAGCTCGAGCCTAATGTCTGGTATTGTGTGTTGACATTTGATTCCGGCATACAAACTTTCGATGATGTCAATTTGGTGTGTAATGTTTATAAACGTAGACATTTCGCATGTGTCGAATATACAATGTAATTTACATGCGAAAAGTAGAATAAACTACGTATGAATGGTGTAGAAAAGTCACGTCCATGTCGTTGGCTCCCCACTTTTTGGTTTGTGTGCAAAATTTCTCAAATGATTTTTGAAGCGATGTGAATTTAACATACGTGTTTGGATTCTATATGGACGAACGTTAAGTTACCAATGCAACCTAAATAAAATCGATTGTAACTTGTAAAAGGACGAAAGTGACTTTTACATATGTAAATTCTGACCCCCTTGGGCTTATCAGAATTGCCATACAAGAAAAAATCCTTCAAAAAAAATCATGCACACGCTTTGGGGTCTTTCACCGTTGCTAATATATGTTGAAATAGTAGACAAAATGAACAAATAAAATTTAAAATTCTTTTCTCTGGCATTTACACATGTTTCGTCTATCACGTTCTAGATAATGAATTTAGCATGCATGAGCAACTACAAAAACACTGGAAATTTTTTTATGTAAACAACACGTAATCGCTGTGTTCCAAATTCGATTGTAGCGTTACGAATATGATGGTGCATGTTAGTTGCATGTACATCACACTGTGTGACTCTATCGTTTGTGAAAACAACGAGACTGATCGTAGTACGAGAATCTACTGTAAACCGAAGATAGAGAGAAACGAAAGAGAAGAGAGAGAGAGAAAGGCACACATAGATCTATGACGACAGCAAAAGAACTTTTATGCGTCGTTGTAAGTGTATGTTTTACACCGACTGTACCTTACGATACATGTGAGATAATTTGTCAAACGTTATCAAGGAGGAAAGAAAGAAAGAAAGAGATAATTAAGAAAAAACAAATACCCGAGCATGTGTGCGTGCGTTCAATGTCAACAACAAAAAGATTTTTTCTTTGGCATTTTTGTTTCAAATACTTACTTACAATTTTTTTTATCTGGAATAAAAATGAAATGGTCAAATAAAAAACTTTGGAATTGCAGTTGGAATCGTAATTTATTTAAAAAAAAATTAATATTTCGAGATGAATCGTTCTATAAACAATGTAAGCATGAATGTGATAACATAACAACATTATAGCGTTGATCACATGATTGACAGCTGGTGCGCACACTATAACAGACAACTGTTGGTCGACATTTGTGTGCGTGCGACATTCCTATAGCTACATTGTGTATGCAGCCTACATTGTGTATGCAGCGCGTGATAATTTACGGTGTACATCAATGCTGTTGATGATACAGAACGAGTACACCATATTGTGACATATTTTTTCTCACGCTCGTACACACTCAATGCATTGTCTGTCTACACTGACAATTTTTGTTATGCAAAAGACTATTGTTGACTATTTTTTCGATTTTTTTTACTTTTTTTCTATTCAATGTAAACAAATAGTCGAATGCCAAATGGAAAAAGGTATATTTTTCAATAAAAAAATGTATTTCAGCAGGGAAAAAGCGATAGAAATCATGTGTTTCTATGAATTTGTTGAATTTCAAGGTCAATAATTCAAAAATACAAATAGTGCATCAACATTCACCGGCCGATACAGCTCAGTGCTAGCGTGCAGACGTTCTAATCTAGCAGTCGCAAGTTCGATTCTCTCTGGTTAATAAAAAAAATATTATCTCACACAGGTTAACAACAACAAAATACAATATATACTTCAAATCTCGCTGGGCCAGCTGCAATATGTATATACTATAGTAAGATTGAAAAATTCTCATACTAGCAGTAATATAGATATACCAGAACAAGAATTTAACGATATTAAAATAGCAGATAGGGCATAGGTAAGATATACAAATAATGAGCTTACTGCGACTATTAGGTTAGAATGGTATCGGCCATTTTTTTTCGTTTTAAATGCGGCCTAAAAAAGATTTTTTTAAACTTTACTTCATCGAATGAAATTCAATTATATATTGTTGATTCAAAAATTCAAACCTATACATGCTTGAGTCAAACACATACACAAATTCACAATTTTTATTAATTGACGCCATTTTAGCTTGCACTAATTTCACATATGTATATGAAAAATCAACAAAAAAAAATATTGATCGATAATTGATGATCGAATTTTATCAAAACTTTTTCAAGAAAATAAATAAATTCAATTTTTTCAGATTTATATTTAAATAAGTTACATGAATTACTCAAAAAAAATTCTTACCACAATCAAACGCATGTCTGATGTTAGTGACGGATGATATATGACTAAAATTCATGTGGGAAAAAGCACATTCGCGCATCACATGTGTCACATATGATCTTCGAACGTAGTTAAGTTCTTTTACTACGTTTCTACGTGAAGCAACTAGTACCACTAGTATTGCCATTTTTCAATAACAATTTTTTTAAATAATGTTGTGTGTTTTTCTTCCATGATGCGAATGTGATATCATTACTATTTATTCAAAATAACACATTAAAACGACAAATCAAACAATAAGTAAACAATTCACTTTTTTCAATTTTCGATTTAAATTTTTATTGCTTCCCTATCGATACAATGTGATTTAAAATCCTTATGAAACCAAAATGAAGTACAATAGTAAAATAAAAAGGATATAACTAAATTTTAAAATTTCACAAAAAAGGAAATAAGACGCAAAAAATGTTATTTTCTTTTATGTTTTTTTTTATTTGTAAATATTTTGTTTTTCAATTTTTTATTTTAAATTTAAAGTGTATTTTTTCATCCATAAAATTCTCTTTTTTTAAGTTTTTTTTTTATTTGTTTGGGGATAAGAGGAATTCACAGGTGCAATCCAATTTATGATTATTATTATCTTTGTACAACTACAATTACAAATACGAAATGATTTTTTTTATTCAAGTAGAACTATACTTTTTTTCAACGTGTGAGAAAAAAAAACATATGCACTATTCGGTAATTCTTTTTTTTTATCTTTATCAAATTGAACAACACAAAAACAAATGTATGCATTTTTTTTAAATTTCTATATAACTACAAATTAGCCACCTGCTGGCAATCTTTCGGTTGTTGAAAAACGGTTTTTTGTTGTTTTTTTTTCTTTAAATCACATGATAGACAAACAATTACTATATTGTATATTTTATGCATTAAAATGTGTGTAAGCTGGAACTTACACGTGGTCAAATTCTGGTGTGAATTTAGTTTCTCTTGTGTTAAGTTTTAAAAAAAATTCAAAATTTATTTGATTTAGTTGAGATTTTAATTGTATCTTGGCCATAATAATTTTCCTGTAAAAAAACAGAAAAAAGAACAAGATAAAAATCAAGTTATTATTTGTACCATACCGAACATAAACGATTCAACAAGTGCTTATAGTTTTAGTTTTTTTACAGTTTTTTTGTTGTCAAAATGTCACCACAAATTCTTGTTATGCCCAAGGAACACAATGTCTTAGTTAATCGCTTATTTATTTATTTATTTTTTTTTTTTTGCTTCACATACTTATATTCAAAATGAACGAATTTTCTTTTCATACGAACATCGAATGTTTTAAAAACGAGAGTTATGTAAAAAAAAGGTTTAAATTTAAAACATCAAAATTAGGAGAATTTTATTTTTTTATTGGTGTTAATTCATTTTGTTCATTCAGTGAAAAAATCGGACAAAAAAATGTCACACGAACTTTTTTATACATTTTACTTTACCAAATAAAAAACATGTCTCGTTCAAATGAATGTCTTTTTTTTTAATTCATGATGAAAGGATATGGCAAAGATAAAATGCCAAACCATTTTGATTCAACAACAAAAGTATGACTTGAAAAAGGTTTGAGAGAGAAAAAAAATCTGTACAAAATAAGGCGACACATCTATACAAATATTTGGTATGGGTTCTCCGGTATTTAATACATAGTAAAAAAAGAACTGGCGCTTAATCGTTCTTCCACATATATATTATCTCAATCGACTGTAAAAACTTGCACATTTTTTCGCAAATATATTTTTTTTTCACATTTTCGATTTGCTTGCATTTATCACCTCCTTCGTATGTTTCCTTGAATTTCGTATTTAAAAAAAATTGGTTTTAGAAATAAGAACACAATACATATAGAAAAAAGGTTTGAATTTTCAAAAGAAAGCGATTTCTTTCGCAAATTTAATCCATTTTTTTGCCCCGATAATTCAGTATAAAATTATGTTTTTATTTAAAAAATAAATGTCATTATTAAAATATTATTTAAGAATTGTAAAAAAAATGGTTTAGATTTGCAAGAAAAATCGCTTTTAACCACAAATGTAAATAATTTTTGCCGTGTGGTTTGACAGAAAATCTTGAAAAATTACTAATGATATTTTTTTTATGAACAACTCTACAATACTCTATTTGTACAAATTAGAAAGTAGAACAAAAATTTCGACTCATTTAATTTAAATAGAGAAATGTCAGTTTAAAAAAAAACTGTCAAAAAACGCGTGTTGAACAATAATTTATTTATGCGATTTAGTTATGTTCAACATCATATCACATTTACCCAAATCCATTCACTTACTGCATCAATCTGATTATCCGTGTTAATTTGATGTAAAAAAATATGCTACACTCTGGTAAAAAAAATCATTTCAATAAACCAGTATTTTAAGTTGTTTGTTTTGTTTTTCGAAAGTTGAATTGTTTTGGGTAAATGGGATATCTTTTTCTTTTGATGATTTAAGAAAAATCCAATTCTTAAAAAAATCCTTAATTTGTGTATGCTTTTTTTAGATTCAATTATTTTTGAACTACTTGTTTCAGTTTTCAAATTCTGAGAATAAAACTTGAAAAGAGATATTTGAATGGATCTCATTGAATTTAATAATTGTTGCTCTTGCTGTTTGTTGTTTTTTTTTCCTTTCAAAATGTGGATATTATCATGTAATTGTATGTACAATACAAAAATTCAAAATAAGGATTTATCAATAAAAAAATTATTTTTTATTTAGTTTTTTTTTTTCTTCATCATTATCATGTTCTTTGTTTATACTGTTTCGATTGTTAGATCTAGATGATCAAAATGTGTATTTAATTTTTCGATCGTAAAGAATTGGTATGAATGTCAATTAGTTGTTTTGTTTCATCGTCCAATTATTTCCGTCTGTCCGCACATTCATTGTGTGGCTTACAATCTTAGTGAAAAATATAAATTTGGTTGTTTTTTCCCACCTCAAATCATTTATATTGTTTGTGATACAAAATTACTTGCAATTAATTTACATAGTTAAGTTTGTGTTTTGTTTTCGTAGAGAAAAAAGTGCAGAGAATCAAAACGTCAGATTGAGCGTTAACACAAATTTACACAAGAAATATTACAACCTTATTTTGATTTATTGATAATGATTTCACAATTCATTTGATAATCCTTATCATTAAGTTTTGTGTGTGTGTGAGAGAGTGCACTTTAAATGTGCTTATAGTTTTAATGTGTTTTCCACATCGATTTTCGACCATATTTTTCCATGCATGTGAGTTTTTAACATGTCTAACATCGTAGCAAAATTGCACAATTAATTTTATAGATTCTCACGCCAGACACAATGTATGGAAATTAAAATCATCTAGGTGCTGACTGTGTAAATCTGTGGCTAAACAACATTGTTCATATATGGGATATACAGAATATATATATAATTAAGCACAGCATCCTATAGTAATAAATTGGGTCGAGAGAAAAGTCAAAGCGTGAATGTATTTTAATAAATCTAGTTTTAAGCCATTTCTCTCTTTGTGTATGTGTGTGTTTGTATTTTTGAATGTCTTACTGACTAAAACAGCAATTATTTTGTGATTTTTTCATTTATTCTTTTTAGCTCATATCGTGTCCCTTAGCATTACTAAGGCTAATTAGCACAATACATTTTCAGTTTGGATTTTTTTAAGTTCCGTTTTTTATTCTAGTTTTTTTTTTTTTTTTTTTTTAAAGCAACAAGAACAACATTTCTTGAATTTCATTTCAAATCGGCATCATCATTATTTCTTGCAATTGCCTTACAAATGTTGTGTCATAAAAACACATATATTTTTTTTCTTGTCTTGCTGATTTTAAACTTGTTCATTCTCTCCCTCATTTATATCACAAAATTGTCAAAGTATGAACCATACAGGTTTTATTTTCATTTCTCAATAATATACACAATCATTCTATATCTTTGTTTTAAATCATGCCAAAACAAGCCCTAATGCATGTATGAATGTTTTTCTTTTTATTTGTTCGTGTTTGTATTTCTCTGTGTGTGTTTTCACTTATTACGTTTCCCTTTTGTTTGTGACGTTTTAAGTCAAATTGAAAAAAAAAAACATCTTCTCTCTTTATTTGTCTGTATAATCGGCCAATTTTTTTTGCCTGTTCAAGCAGCCGCTAGCTATTCACCTTCTACTTACAGTATCAAAATTAAGAAAATCCTATCTAAAAATTGGTCATCGGCGATCTCATATTGATTACATTTGCTCAACACAACGCGTCTGAGAGTTTTCCTATCTTTTGTAATTTGGTTCTTCATTTCACGTTATTTTTTAAATTTTATTCAAATGTATATGCACCACTGAACACAATTCGGTTGAATATGGTTGCTGCTGACATTTGATGAACTGGCAGGAATGTCAACATAATTCGTATTTTTGTTGTTTTTTTTATATTGAGTTTTCTGTAGAGTAGAGTGTTTTCTGTTGAAATCGTCGTATATTCGTTTTTGTATAGTTGTTGTCATGAGCAGCAAAATAAGCGATGACTGCACACAATGCCACAATCAATGGTTCCGAATGCAGGAAGAAGAAATACCAGCAATAATTTAATTCTTACATTGAATATCGTGTTTTTTCAATTGTTCTGTTTGCTCTTAAAAGTTTGATTTTTGTTTGATGTATGTGTGTGTATCATGTGGTTTGAATTTTTGTTTATTGAAATCATTCCACTTTATTACGTTTCTTCAAACACAATTTCAGAAAGTGATTCAAGCGAACGCATTGAATCTTGTGAATTATTTGAGCTACCTTTAAGAATGCTCAATGAATCGCGTGTGATTTGGCCCAAACCGAATGCTTTACCAATGTGATTTGCTGTTGGCGCTACGCTCGGTTGATGATGTTGTGTTCCTTCCGTTACATTAACATTTACTTGAATGCCAGCATATTCATTTTTATTGTTGTCATCGTAGTCATCATCGTCGTCATCGCCACCCACTTCAAAATGAACCTTTTCATTTTTGATTGCCGGTTGTTCGACGATGTCCGTTTGTGGATTTTCACCTTTTGGACTATTATCTGGCACACTAATTGTTTGTGTGGCAATTGTTTTTAATTGTAAATTGGCCATACTATCAGCGGTAACTGTATGCTCTGGTGATGTGTTCTCTTTAACATCCTGTTTCAGTTGATTTGGAATGGCATCAATGGCAACCGAATCAGCAGTTAATGTATTCTCCGGTGACATTTTGGCTATTTGTAATGGTGATTTGGTCGATTTTTGTCCAACAACAGTTTCGATGCTACTTATTGGCTTGCAATCGGTCGATTCGTCGAAAACATTTTCTTTTTTCGTCCATGCAAATAGTCCCGATGGACTTTCTTTGCGTGACGGTGGTTTACTATCTTGTGTTTGTGTTTGTGTTTGTGTTTGTTGCTGTGGCTCTTTACGTGGTACATCACCATTATTGGATCGTGTAAAAAATAAATTGCCCGGATGATGGAAAATGCTGAGCAATTTATCAACGGCATCACCACGTGATATCCATGATGTTTTCCGAACACGTTGTTGTTTATCGTCGATTTTTGGTGATAAATTGTCTTTTTCATTGGTCACAATATCACCGCTGCACGGACTAACTGGACTATTTGTTAATGTACCTTCATTCGATGAAATTTTAAGCGGTGGAAACTCTTGTGATCCATAAATTGAATCATTTGAACATGTGCTTGCTTCTAAACTGGATGGATTATTTTCCGTTTTATTCGTATCGATGGTTTCATTCTCAGTTTCGATCGATGAATTGGACAAATTTGGTGTGACCACTTTTTGTTTTGATTTTTGTACATGTTTACCAAGTATATCGTAACTTTCCATCGAACTGAGTGATGTATTGAAATCTTGACCACGATCGATTGAATCAAGACTACTAAATGACGAACAACTATCATCCATATAACCTTTTACCTCCAAATCGGGACTATCGAAACTATTTCTAGTGTTATCAATGACGGCAATAGTGGCAATGTGCTCAGCATCGGTGGGTGGTCTACTGATCGTAAATTTAGTTCCAATTTTTGTGTTCAACGAACTTACGCTGCCGATCATTGGGGCGGGTGGTTGGTCTTTCAATTGTGCTGACATCGTTGTCGATGGAGCCGATTGGGTACGCTGTAATACAGACACTTGAACCGGCACCGATTCATTTTCTTTTTTATGTACAGTTTTATCAGTTTCTTTGTTCGTGCTATTATTTATAATGGTTACGGGAGCGGACATAATTTTTGGTGGTTCAACAACAGTAACACGAAATCGTGACGATGAAGTGGTACTTGAAGGGGAACAACTATTTGACGACGATGGGGGTGTTATCGGTGACGAAACATTACTTTCAACAACACGTGACACGTGAAAACGTGATAATCGCGATGGACTTTGTATTGGCGACGACGATACAGGAGATGGAATTGGACTGGGTGAAGGCGATCTTAAACGACCAGATTTACGTGTTGGATCTAATAAGTGCTTGGCTTGTGGAGACTCATGTACGTTGTGTCGTATGCTTTGGCACGTTAACGAGATTTTTCGTGAATTTAGGAAATTTGCACGCACACGCTTCACCGACGTACGAACTGGCTCTGGATCGGGTGGATTCTCATTACGTGCACATAATGAACGAATATTATTGACCACACGATTATAATCAATGCTTGAATCAGAGTGTTCCTGAAGATAAAAAAAAACATAGCACAAAAACGAAATAGAATGCAATCAGTTAAATATTGAATATTTAAATAGAAAAATGCCAATTGGGTACAACTTACGTATGCTCGGCGTGGTACATCATCCAAATCGATTCGTGTGATTGATTTATTTGACTTGAGAACCTCATTCAGTGATGTTAAACCGCTCACTTGTAAATTATTATCACGTAAATCAACGCGTTGCAGTGTAACATTACCACCAAAATCTAAAATGTCCGACAATGTTTTGACGCCTTCATTCGACAAATGTACACTTTGCAAACCAAGACTGGTCAAACTTGTGTTCGCCTTTAGGCTGGCTTTGATATTAGCAACAAAATCATTGCTTAGCACATTTTTGCCAACATTCAGTATTTCTAACGTTGTTGTTGCGCTCAAAAGTTTCGATATTGATTGTGCTGAATCTCTTGTTATGTGATTATTCCAAAGCATAAGCACTTGAAGGCCATTCGGTGTGGTGATTGATGGTGTGATCGGTACATTTGAACTATTTTGCCGTTCAAGTGTGCCATTTTTTGAGAATTTTGCTTCTGCCAATTTTATCGATGATTTCGAGTCATTTGATTCGATGGAAGTTTCACTATTGAGACTCTCATTGAGACTCTCCGAACTAAACGAACGTTCAGGAACTATAGATGTATTGTATGCTTGTTTGATCGTTTCAAATGGTGTTGAATATTCACAACTACTGTCCAGTGAATGTGAACTGTCGGGCGTGAGCGACAGCTCACTCATTATATCCTTTGATTTGGTGAGACGTGGACTATTCAATGGCAAACGAACTTTGCATACCGGTGACATTTCTTCATCTTGATCATCATGCCTATTAACATTGCTTGTTTGAATTGGTTTCGGTGATGAGCAGCCGATTCCACATTTTATCGTATTATCAGCATCCGGTCGAACGATTGTGGTTGTATCACATGTTGCGTCTGTGCTGTTTTGTACTTTTTCATCGAGATCACTTGATACATTTCTTGTACTACTTACAACATTTTTATTATCGACATGATCGCCACTATTCACTGCATCGACATTAAAACTTTTATTCTCGCACACCGTTGATTCAATTGCATTCTCAACCTTCACCATTTCAGCATAATTAAGTTTCATATCCGATTTATTTTCATTGATATCCAATTGGCAATTGGTTGATGTTAATAATTGCAATTTCTTTGGTTGAACATCATCCAAAGTTTCATTGAGATCCCCTTTTAGCTGTGTTATCAGCTTTTGTTGCCTTTGTACAACTGTTTCGGTACTCTGTTCGCTATTTGATAACACCGTTTCTGCTTTAGTGCATTTTACATCAGCAGCCTCATTATTATTATCTTCTACATGTTTGTCTTTTGCATTTGTATCGGCACTACATTTTTCCGATGAATCTATGCTGGCGGTTGTATTGGACATTACCAACGACGAATCATCATTATCACTTTTTATGCTTTCTTTAGAATTTTGTTCGATTTGTTCGACAATTTTACTCTTGTCGATTGATTTTTCTTGATTTGCCGGTGCTGCTGTCGCCGTTGCCACTGTCGCCGCCGTTGCCACCATCACTGCCGTTGCTATTGTGGCCGAATCAATGTTCGAATTATTATTATCACTTTTTATTGGTTTGGTAACTTCTTGTGCAACTTTCTTTTCGTCCGCTTCATGTTTTTGACTTTCATCTTGATTGGTTGTGGTTGTTGCAGCCATTGCAGCTATTGTTCTTGTTGTATTCGTGACGGCGGTTTTATCGGCGGTAATCAATAAATTAAAATTATTGCCGGTATCCGTATTTGGAGCAGCATCTATGTTGGGTTTTGTTGCATTTATCATTCGTGCCAAACATTCATATTTTGTTTCGTTTTTATCGCCACGCGTTAACGTGTGCTTCGATGACAATGGTTGTGATGACGTTGAATTCGATCCGCCATGTAACACTTTAAAATAGTTTGCTTGTTCGATTAATGCCTCGCCTATATGGAGAACACCACGATCCTGTGATTTTCAACAAAAGAGATAAAAACAAATTGAAAATTTTGGGCATTGTTCGATGAAAAATCTTGTGCCACAAAAGATAAATGTGTAGCTTTTTCAATCACCTGAATATTATTATTGCTCAGATCAAGAAATTGTAGATAAAAATTTGATTTGAGTACGTTTCCAATATTATATGCATCATCAGCGGTTAAATCGTTGTGCGCTAGCCAAAGTTCTTTTAACACGGTATTTTTCCGTAGGTAAGTACCTAAAAATATGTGCAACACATTGTATTAGAATGCGATGATGAAAAGACGCTGATAAGATTGGAAGAAAAATTTGATCAAATACTTACACAACGATGCCATTGGACGGCCGGAGAGGCCACAGTGTTCCAATTTCAATGTGTTCAATGATGAGCTCAGCATCGATTTGCCCAAACTAATCGCATTCGATTCTGATAATGGTGTGCCTCGGGTCACTAATATTTGTAATGCATGACTACGTTTCACCATATTGATGCATGCTTGCCAGCCTCTGTTAGTGATATTACGATTCTCTGATATATCGATCTCGTTGGCCGCCTCATAATACTCAATTATGTCAAATAGTGCGGTCGCTGATGCATCGTTTAATCCACAATCGGTTAGATCAATTAACTTGTATTGAATCTATTCGGGTGATGAACATAGAAAAAAACGAGAACAAAATATTGGAATTAAAACCAAATTCAACTGTACAATGAACAATAAAACGAAAAATTAAAGGATGATGAATAACGAATTAATTGCTTTGTTGCATTCAAAATACACACAAACACACAAGGTCCAGTGACGATAATCAAGAGCGAGAAAGAGCGCACAAATGTATGAATGGTGATTTCAAATGATAGCAATCATGAAGAAGTGCATGTGTCGTTCATAGAATGAGCATATACTGATATATCTCTTCGCCTTTTTCCATCTCCAATTTACATGAATGAAATTGCGGCATAAAGCACACGGATTTTTCATAAAATTACGCAACACAAACGCGAGCATTGAACAAGCGACATGGACATGTACAAACCTATACATATATGGATTTTCCAATAAGTTCTATTTTTTTCTATTGCTTGCATTTTATTTCCATTTCTTCGCTCCGTACCTCGTTACGAGGGTTGCTCCATAATTTTTTTTAAAAACATATATAACACAGTTGTTTTTTGTCGAAAATGGTTTTATTGTTTTTCAAAATATTCCCCGAGATGATCGATACACTTTTGCATTCGATGAAACCATTTGTCATAGCATTCGTGCCACTCCGAAACTGATATCTCCAAAACGTGTGTTTTGAACGCTTCAACTGCTTCTTCTGGTGTCGAAAATCGTTGACCACGTAGTTTTTTCTTCACGCTTGGGAACAAAAAAAAGTCATTGGGTGCCAGGTCAGGACTGTACGGTGGATGACCCATCAGTTCGATGTTTTGACCGGTCAAAAATCGAGTAGTTTGAAAAGATGTGTGAGAGCTCGCATTATCGTGATGAAGAATTATTTTGCGACGGTGGTTGTTTTTTCTTATTTCACCAAACACTTCGGGCAAACAAATGGTGGTATACCAATCAGAATTGACGGTCTTACGATCCTCTAGTGGAACGGTTGCCACATGACCACTTCTCCCGAAAAAACAGGCGACCATTCGCTTCGAAGTGCTTCTTGCTCGAACAACTTTCGTTGGGTTATCTTCATTTTGGAAGACCCACACAGTCGACTGCTGTTTCGTTTCGGGCTCATAGGCATATATCCACGATTCGTCACCAGTGACGATTTTATTATCGTCTTTTGAAGCACCACGATTGAATTTCTTGAGCATTTCTTTACACCAACTCACACGAGCCATTTTTTGTTCATCGGTCAATTTATGTGGGATCCAACGAGAGCAAATCTTTTTTACGGCTAAATGTTCATGCAAAATTGTATGTATGCTGTGGGATGAAATGCCCAAAGATGCCTCAATCTCACGGTAGGTCACATGACGATCTTCCATAATCAGTTTTCTGACAGCATCGATGTTTTGTGGCACAACAGCCGATTTTGGACGACCTGTATGAAACTCGTCTTTGAGCGAACTACGACCGCAACGGAATTCTCGGTACCAGTTATAAATTGTCTGAAGGGTTGGTGCTTCATTGCCAAAGGCCAAATGAAGTCGATCGAAACACTGTTGTTGAGATAATTTACTTCGAAAATCGTAGTAAATCATTTTACGAAAATCTTCACGTGTAAAATTCATTTTTTTGTTGAGTCGCAGTTTACCAGTCACTGTAAACAATACAAATAGCGTTCGTACGACAAAAGGTTCAGGGCACGAATACATACCAAAACATCAAACTTTACGAATATGACAATGGTTTACATCGGGCAACACTATAAGTACCATTTTAAAAAAAATTATGGAGCAACCTACGTATCTATCACACTGCATTTGTTTTTCTCGTTTCATCTTTCTAATATGTTTCTCGACAGACTTTTTGCTTCTCATTTATCGTTACTATTGATAATGTAACTACTAAAATCGCAATGAACTTTTTACAATTTCTCCTTGAATTTAATTTATGCTCATGCACAAAGTGGACGGGGTCGCAAGTGTTCTTTACTTTGTTTGCAGATAATGACGATAATTTAATATTTCATTTTCGCTTGTGGCGATTAAGACACTCCACTCGAATGATTAATGATAAAATATGTAAATTAAAAAGTGTCATTGGTCCTTTTAATCCGAATCGTTGAGCTGAGCGTGAAAAAACAAAATTCATATCCAATATAATTTACATATAGGGAAAAAAACCAAACCAACAACTGAAATCAAAACATCAAAAAAAAACCAACACTCCGACCAATGAGATCATGTGTTCGATTCAAAATGCGAATGGAAATTTTCGGAATGCAAAAGTTGCGCGAGCTATGAGGAAAGCGTGATTGGTGAATTATACACGCGATATTCTAAACAACTTGAGTTGAAAAACAAAACAAAGGAAAAGAATGTGTAAACATAACGCTGTTTTTAAGATGAAGAGAAAAAAGAACACGCGGAGAACAAAGAGAACAAGGAGAATGTGACTGGAAAATCGGGCTATCCAATTAAATAAACAAAAGATCATTTGTATTTAATTCAAGTTGAAATTTACGTAAACAATCCAAACGGTGTGAGTGGTTGCAATCGAGATTTTGTGAAATTCAAATATGTCAACTGCATGACGTTTTGAATTTTAAATATCTCTCGGTGGATTTTATTTGTTTCATAAAAGAATCAACTTTGTTTTCGGATACATTTTTTGCCGTTTTATTTTAACATTTCCAGACAATTTGAAAAAAAAAGATAGCTGTAAATATACGAGACAAATGTGAGCAATTAAGCTCAGTAAGTATTGTTGAGACATGTTTTGAATGTTGTGTGATTTTTTTGAATTGCCTATAATTATTCAATTGTAGCATACACATTCTTTATTCTTTCAGCAGACGTCTTGCAAATAATATGAACGATTCATCTATTTCCACATTTTCTTCGAGTGAATCAACAACGCTCTATACAATGGCATCGGCTCTTTAATTCAAGCTCGTTTTCATCATTTGATTCTAAAAGTCTCGTAAATAATTCAGATTAAAACATCAATTCGTTGAATCGAATTCCATAAATATGCAATTTTAATGCGTTTTTCTTAGACCAGAATATCAAAAATGTTGATGCTAAATGCATTAAAAATTAAATTTTTATTATGACTGTTTTTAATTTGTTTCCAGTTTTCTGTAGGTGTACACAGCCGAACCCAATGGATTGGGGTGAAAAAAGCGATCCACATTGGCATTGTAAACATTTCATATTAGAATCATTTTCGTTGGACAAAGAAAAAAAATAAGGCGAAACAAATATTTGTGCATGTGAACACGTGCCCGACCTAACACATTCAATACATTCCACATACTGTTCGCTGTGATCACTTACGCTCTACCTTTTTTTTTGTTTCAAGCTCTCTCTCTCTCTTCTGTTTTGTTTTTGTACATTTCTCAATTTATTTTAAATATCATTAACAAGATACATGTAGGGTGAAGTGTTTGTTTTGTTGCTTGCGATCGTACAATTTGCATATTATGTGTTCCGCAAAGTGCCGATAAATTTGGCGCACTTATCATCAATATTCAATCGAAATGAAGATGAAAAAGAAGAAAAATAAATAAATTAAATATGGGAATAGACAACGCAAATAATAATAAAACAAAAATCCAACAAATTTGATACTTCAAATGTGTCACTCATCATACGAGAAACGACAAACACCATGCAATGCACGTACACCGCTGAATAAAACATTTAGCAAGCGAACAAGCGAATAAACGACATAGCAAATGAACGAACGAGCGTTCGAATTGATTCAATCGCCTGTGGCATATATATTCGCTTCGTTTCAATGTATGAATTTTTAATGTTTTATCGGATAGTTTGTCGATGGTTGTCGTATTTTTACTATCAACATTCGTTAAATGTTGGACGCCATTTCTACAGAAATATCAACGACAACGAATAGCAGCAACGGCATCCAGAATAAAAAGAAAAAGAAGTACTGATATTTATATGTGTCAATGTAGTCTGCAATCGCGACGACACTTGCTTTTTCTTTATGCGCACACAACATATTTTAACGTATCAAAATGATTATTGCACATTTCACAAAGCCAATAAATAATCATGTCTAATTAACAGAATTTTTTTCTTTTTTAAACTATGGTACATTTACGGAAAATTTCATTTCAAAGTGTTTCATTAACTATTTTGTGAATGTCTGAAAAAAAAAACATCTTCAACATTTATTATTGTTATAATTTTTTTTTCACTCGTTTGGCCACTTTATTTATGATGAACACATGTCCATTCCAATTCTGAATATATATAGAATGTGATGCGTAAGCAAATAGTTTTATGGTATTTGTTTGTTTTCGTTTCAGTGTGAGTATGAGTGTGTTTTTTTGATAGAAAATGAAATGTTTTCATTTGAATCAAATTACTCCTTTGGAAACTTTTCAATTCAATGAAATGTGCATGGTACGAAAAACAGTGAGAACTGAAAAAAAAGAAGATCTTGTAAAATGAGTACAAAGTATATGGAGTTGATCTAGTTGAAAGCATAATTCATATCTCTATTTCCGTCTAGGATAACCTTGATTTTTTCTCTCTCCTCTTTTTCTGCCATTTCTGTTTTTTCGATTTATTTAAAAAAAAAATTGATAAAATTGCCAGTAATATCCGCTACTGATTTATGCATTTTACTGATTTTGTAAATGGAATCACTGATTTTGCACACTTACAATAAATATATACTCGAAACGATATTCCAATTGTGAATAAGAAGTTCTTTCATGCCACAAAAAAAAAGTCAAATCACATTACAGTTTATCGTAAACGCAATGTTTGCGCGCAACAACAACCAAGCGATCGATTAATAAACAATGAAAGTCCATTCATGGAAATGTCGTAAATGCTGAGTTTGGTTTTCATATCATATTATAAAAAAAAGCCAGCGCAAACAGAAATATCTTTTCAATTAGTAATTTTTGTCGATTCTTATCTGTGTATTCATAACATTAAGTAGATTTCATGCATGTTTTGTAACGTAATCCAAATCAAAACGACACAGAA